TGCTGTTCTATGAGAGATTACCAGTCTTCTCCCTACTACATGGACTGGCAAAAACAAACTTAGTACCATGTGAAATAATAACATGAAACATGAATGTGAGCACATATGGTGTCACAGGCTTTGTTTACATAGCCAAGCAACGAGGTGAATTAGATCAAACCGTTTAAGGGCAATGCTCTTTACATCTTTCATTAGATGTTATTTGCTGTTTATTTTAGACTAGACTTAGTCTTGTTCACCGGACCAAAAATGCAGGGACAGGATCACTCATTATGTTTTCATTGCCAATGAGCATCATGCAAGATGCTGCATACCATTGCACCCCACACCATAAGGTACACTCTGAGAACGGTGCAGCACAGGCCTAATTTAATTGTGGTTTTCCTGGATTCATAATGGCACCACAATCTACATTTGATAATTTGAAAGTCACTGGGCTATGCAGGATAGAAAATGTGCAAATGTTTCCAATACCCTCCAAACTCATGGTATCACTTTTAGTCTCAACCATCCGTAAAGGCATCTTTGAGACCTTCCTTCAGACTGAAACACTGAGCACGGCTTCTGCAGTTCTTGTATGCTCAGATCTCTACTCTCTTTGTCATAAGTGGGGCATCCATAAACGCACTTGTGCCAGGACTTTGCTCCTTCACTGAAGACAGTCATCAACTCACAGAGCATTCAGAAGTGCATGGAGTGGGACAGGAGGAATACCACTGGACATCAGTGTCTTTCAATCTGGCAAATGTTATGCAATGATTGAAAAGGGAACTGACTCTCAATACTTCTCTCTGTACTCAGTTTTCTCCTCCTCCACATTCGTGTGCTTCACACACTCCCTTTCTGCATTCAGTCCATTTGGTTTGGGTCAACCTGGTTAAACCAATTACGCCTTACACCAGCCCACAGTACCTTTCCCTTTACACCCTTTCCTGAGTGTGACTGGGGGCAGGGGAAGAGAATATATTGCCAACAACCAGTACCTTAATCACTGCATTTTAAAAAAATGGCCTCATCCTGAATGGTATTTGTTGTACAAGCACCTGATTGCAGGGCAGGGACAGGATCTGACATGTGGCCAGAAGCATCAGCAGCACTACCACCACCGAGTAGGTCCTTTATACACTGCATTTGAGGAGAGGAAGAGACAGTGTGGCTGGGGTTTTGTGCAGAAGCCTAGGGGGGCTGTGTGATTAAGGCATGCCATGTCCACAACTTATGCAGTTGCCAGGACCATGCCTGGCACACAGGCAGAGCTGCGACAGGGCAAACGGTCTCTGACGGAGCTTGCTCCTCCACAGAACTTCCCTCATAGCTCAAAGCCCCTGGGGACTAGTCTGTCAAGGCACGGCAGCTCTCACGGTAAATTCAGAGACTTACACCACCTTTCCACAGCTCTGCAAACAGTGCCCTAATTCTACCAGAAACCTCCTAAACACAGTCCCATGCTCAATACACGTACAGGAAATGATTGCACACACTTACTCAGGTGGGCATCCAGACCAGTAGTTCTGCAGTTCCTATTGCCTGCCGTGGTGTGGAGTGGACCAAGGGGATGTTCCTGCGTGTTGTCTTGCGGGGATACCCTGGGGGTTGCATAGCAGTACTGTAGGTATGCTTTTCCCTGGACTTTTCTGCCAGACTCTTTGTCCTGGGACTAAGGGTGTGGATGTCCTCATGAGCGGTGGGCTTGGTGGAATGCTCTCCCCTCCCCTGAAGATCTGTTCAAGATCTCTGTTGTAGTGGCACACACACCATGAATGATTTTCCTGCCTCGTGAAGAACATGGCCTTCATCTGCTTGAATGAATGCAGCATGGCTTGGCAGTCCTGTCCCACTTGGCAGCAGGCTGGAAATTAGCAACAGCGTTGTGCTCTGCTGGAGAAACTTTTGGACCTTTTAGAACACAAGCTCCAGGTCGCCCCTTGCTCATTATTCTGAGAGGCCAATGCCACAGTTGTCACTATTGCAAAAGGCAACAGTAGGAAAGGAGGAATTATTCTAATAATGTTATGAGAAAGATGTTGTTCATAAAGGAGGAACAGTAGAAGAAACAGGGCTGGTGAAGAGGATAGAATCCAAAGCTTGGAGCAGCTGAAAGCCAGAACAAGCAAACATCTGGTGGTCATTAGCAAATAGGAAGTCATGCGTAGCATTTGGCCCTCTGTGTAGCATGAAAAGTACTTTAGAATAAGGTGGGAGCTCTTGACAGCTTTTATTAAAGCATTCTGTTGGCACATGTACTTTTCATTTGCTCCGGAGAACTTCTCAGCGGTGCAGTCCCACTTATGTATGCCAAGTGGCAAAGTTTCTGCCTTAGCTTTCTCTGCAAAAATGTCATTCGTATGTTGAAAACCACTCTGTGAACCAAATCAGTAAACAAGGACAATCACAGAATCACAGAATCACAGAATCACAGAATTGTAGTGGTTGGAAGGGACCTCAGAGATCATCGAGTCCAACCACAAAAAAAAAAAAAAAAAAAAAAAAAAAAAAAAAAACAAAAAAAAAAAAAAAAAAACCACCAAACAAACAACACCAGCTCCCACCACCTAAACACACAACAACCTCCAACCAAAAAACCATCACCCACCCACACAGCACCCCACCACAAACCAGTAATCTTGGGCACTAGAGCATGCCCTGAAGAACCATGTCTACACGTTTCTTAAATACCTCCAGGGATGGTGACTCCACCACCTCCCTGGGCAGCCCATTCCAATGCTGGATAACCCTTTCAGTAAAGAAATGTTTCCTAATATCCAACCTGAACTTCCCCTGGCGCAACTTGAAGCCGTTACCCCTTGTCCTATCATCTGTAACTTGGGAGAAGAGACCGACCCCCGTCTCTCTACAGCCTCCTTTCAGGTACTTGTACAGAGCGATAAGGTCTCCCCTCAGTCTCCTCTTCCCCAGACTGAACAACCCCAGTTCCCTCAGCCTCTCCTCGTAAGACTTGTGCTCCAGACCCCTCACCAGCTTCGTTGCCCTTCTCTGGACCCGCTCCAGCACCTCAATGTCCCTCTTGTGGTAGGGGGCCCAAAATTGGACACAGTACTCGAGGTGGGGCCTCACCAGTGCCGAGTACAGGGGGACGATCACCTCTCGGGCTCTACTCGCCACACTGTTCTTGATACAGGCCAGGATGCTGTTGGCCTTCTTGGCCACCTGGGCACACTGCTGGCTCATGTTCAGCCGACAGTCGACCAACACCCCCAGGTCCTTTTCTGCCAACAATCAGAGGACATATTTCAGAACTTCACTACTGCTGTGACTTGAAATACCATGCAGATGCATCCCTAACGACCATCGCTTTTCTAGACTTGAGGATTCTTGACCTGCTTCAGGAGGTGTCTTCTGCTTGTGAGAATCTCACTTAGAAGTTTATAGAGTGATCTTCAAGCAGCAAAGCATAATTCTAACTTCCAAAACAGGAGGCAGGAAGCCACAGTCAGTTCTGCAGTGTTTGATGCAGAGGCATCCAAATAATTTTGGAGGCAACCTCACATTACTATAACTGTCCTTCTTCAAGTATCCTCAGGAGTCAGAAACATATTTACTCAAAATCCAGGCACAATCCCAGCATGAGCTACCCACCAACAGCAGCGTATAAATTTGTAACAGTGAAGCACATCTCAGCCAATATCAACTTAACTATTTGTACAAACACCAAAGGATTGTTCCGATAATGCTTGTTGCTGAAAACAGTAACAATCCATTTCTGTTCTATTATGGTCTTCATCACTTGTACAGTGTATTAGCTGGAAGATGGAGAAAGTTTAATCATAATATACATTTCCTTACGCAGAACTTCTGCACTTATGATAGTCTGTAAACCAGTATATTTCCACCATGTCGTGCCGACTCTCCAGCTCCATGAACACTGGGTACAGGTGGTGCTCTAACAACTGCTACATTCACAATACCATCAAAGCTTTTTTCATTTGCTTTTTCATGCGCTCAGTATGCACTACATTCACTATACTTTGGCAGTTCTTGTATGCTCTGCCACGAGTTACCATTAGATTTCCACTACAAATCAACAGAGGTAATCAGCATGCCACTGATAGCGGAGATAAAGCAACTTCTACCTCTAGGACCACTGGAAAAGACAGAACAATTACTAGGTGGGCTTCAGTCTGCACAGTGTTGGAAAAGCTGGGATATATCCAGAATTCCTAATGTCAGATGAAAGCAGGAAACCAAGTCTTAGCATGTTCAAGACCTAATAACGTTGGTGCTTTTACAGAAAATGTCCTTCACTATCGCTGATGGATATTGGATTCACTCCCTGAATAATAAAGAAGACGGTTCAAGCAAAACTGCACCTTCTTGCCTGGCAACTAGAGAATCAACAATAACTTCTGAAAAATTAACAATGTTAGGTAGTGTGATTGCTCTTTTGAGCACCAAAGGTAGGATGCAGCAGATCACTCTAATTGGACTAGTCTCCTCTCCACCCCACTGAGTTTCATCCCCAAGGAGAAAGACCAAGCCCTGAATGTCATCTGAGTGTTGGCTTCAGATGCCTTGAGTGGTAGGCGGAGAAAAGGAGATAAGTCTCCTTAAGAGTTCTAGCTCCAACTACAGAGCTTCCAATTGCCTCCAACTTAGATCCAGCAAGAATTTGTCATCTCCAGACAAGAAAAACACAGCATTCTCTTCTACATCCATAATAAAGGTAATCTGATAGCTTGTTGCTGAAGCCTCAGCAACACAGTTACACTCAACATTTGCCATTTCTAGGTCTGTTGTTTTGGAGCTCCCTGCCCCACTGACGGTCACCAGTCACAAAGATGAAGTAGACAAGTTTGAAGGATAGTGCAGTAAGTTTTCCTTAGAATTATTGTAATAGATGACAGAGTATAAACACTGAAGATATACACACAATTTAAATATATATGGCATTAAGAATGGATAGGCATAAATACAGATATCAGGATCATCAACTGGAGGAGATGCTGCCTTTTCAAAGGCTGGCTTTTTGGAATGGATCATACCTCATACAAAACTGTAGTATTCCCATGAAGGAGAGGCCCATAGCAAATGTAGGAATGACCAACAACCCAGCCTAAATCAGAAGCTGCCCACCACACCTAAAATGAAATAAAACATTAATATAGTGGGGAGTTTTTAAGATGAGTTAAAAACAAATTATAAGACATTTAAACAGAATTACCTCACCAGGTTTGAGTCCATATACAGCTGACATTGTCCAGTTCAGCATAACTGCATAGCCACCTGTTGGTCTGACAACACCCTAAATGAGAAAATTTGAATATTTAAGATCATTTGAAGGATACAGTGATATTCCTGTTCTTCAATTAAATTTGGGGGTTTTAGCAGCAATCGACTTAAAGTTGTCCAATTCCAATACTCCTCACTTAAGAAAAGGATCCATTCAGACAAGTACATACTCGTCCTAGCATTCCCACTGAAGAAATAATTTTGGCAAATGAACAAACATACAACAAAACAAAAAGAAAAATCTAACCCAAGGCTTAGATGACAATAGTTTTCAGAAGATAACTAAGACTAGAACTCTCTCATTAAAGTTGGATATGCAAATATCTAGTCAACATATGCTGACAAAAATAAGAGATTAAGTATTTACCTCACTTAAACTGTGACCATCTAAATGCTAGGCATGTTTTAGATTCATTGCCTAGTGTCTCTGTGTGATCACTGAAAGAAAGGAGCACCTGTGGAGCAGGTGATCCCTAAAATAATCTGGGTGAATTACTCCCCTGAAATGTACCCCTCCTATGATTCTATGTGCAGATTCTATGATTCTACACTGAGTCTAATTTTTAAAGATGTTAAAAAACTGTCTTAAAATAGATGTCTATTTTTGAAAGGTTTAATATCTAGCCTGAACTACACATACAAATGCAAAATGAAGAACATTCCAGTCTTAGTCTAAAAGAGTGATCTGAAAATTAGAATGAGATAGTATCAATAGCATCATGCACCTTGGTAAGCCAAAAACTGGCTCTGGAACACCCTTAATAGGAAAAGTTTTGAAATATTTTGTGATATTTGTATTTTTAATATACATTTCATCATCTTCTAGTACACTGTTTCTAGAAGAAAGGATTAAGTGAACCACATCCTGAACTAAAATTCAGGTGAGATTCATCTGACCAAACAAATGTCTACAGTGCAGACACTACAATCCAGCTAGGCATGCTACGTTCTCCTTATGTTGTTAATAGAATGAAATAGGCACTGCCAGGCTTCATCCAAGAAATGAAGAACTGTAGAGACATATTAACTCATTAAAATGGAGATTGCCACAGAAGAGAATGGTTAACTAACACCTCCTGTATTTCAGAAAGCAGATTGCTTTTTTTAGTCTCAGCTTCTATCCTAGTCCCTGCTCTGAGATTAATAAAAGTTTTATTATGAAGTTCATAACTGAGTAATTTTATTTGCAGGACCATCTAAAAGCGAGTTCCTTACATGAATAAAAGTTAATTTATTCAGTAAGTTACTCATTGTAGTTTAGTATTAGTTTACCATCTCCCTCTTGTTAGAGTGATTCATTCCAGGTGTCTATATTTTTCTCTGGAGAACCAACAAAGTGAAGTAAACCTCTGAGAACTTTTATCTCTGAGATGTTATGTTTTGAAACTAACAGCCAAGGAAAATACCTGCTGTAACATAGGATCTTATTTTTGGACCTTTTGACAATATAAGTAAATAATTCAAGACATGCATGTTGCTTTACACTGCCCAAGTTCAAAGCTAAAGCAGAAGACATTTTTCCCAGCAAAACTGATATTTGGTTTCCCTTAACTCCCCATAGATTCTGAACTTTATAGGCCACAACATTAAATAATTTTCTACTAGTAGCCTAAGCACTGCCATATCCAGGGATATGTGATACTGTCTCTGAATCTGTGGTGGTAAGACTACTGCCAGAAACTTATACTCAGCTTGTCTTCTACTCTTGAAAAGAGAATTTTAAGTATCAAGGAAACACTTAAGAGTTTGTTTTTAAAATAAGATCTTTTTAAAATAGATCATTAAGACTAATGGACATTTGAAAGCAAGCATTTTCAAATACAGTATGTTAGTTTTCACTTAATCTAAACTTTCATTTTCATGGGAATTATGTTCTCAGAACTGTTCAATAACACAAGCCTCCAGAACATGCTTATTTCCACTTAACCTGTAACATTATTCATTACATCTTATCTATGGGAAGATTAGCTAATATGTAAATAAGGAATAAGCAAAGACTACTCAGCACTAAATGCTATCACACAAGTGATATATTAACCAACCTTGCCATTAAGCGACCATACTATGCTTACCTCAAACAATTAAAACACAGAAGATATTAATGGATAAAGGACATTCTGCTCTCCTCAAAGGTTCATACTGTAAGAAGTACAAACTGCATTTTGAAGTAAATGCAGTTTATCTTTAAATTACTATTACTTAAATAAACAAACATAATTTATTCCTACACACTGACTTTAGTAGTGAAACGAGAATAAATAAGATTAAATCATTTCTAGCAATGTTTGTCATTGATAGCACTGAGCTCTGGCAAGCAGTTTCAATCTTTTTAATTAAATATTTTCTCATGTGGAACTGCAAATAGTTTGGTCACAGACACTTAGACTACAGCGAGTCCTTTACCTTGGGTAAGCCTGTTGTTCCAGATGTATACAGAATATAAAGGGGATGGTCTGATGGAACGGAGACACATTTATAACATTGTGCTTTCGCAAGCTCTTCTTCCCAGTCAAGATCGCGACCTGGGACGAGAGGAACGTCGCCCTGCCAATTGAAAAACAGAAAAGTATGGAAAGAAAAACAGATGGAATAAATGGAAGCTGGTCAAAAAACATGTACCATTCAATTTTCTGTACAGTAATCTCTCTGCTTCATTAGTTCTATTTACTATTTAAATCTTATGAATATAAAGTTCCCCCATAAAATTCAAAATCAAACTACAACAGATATACTAAACATTTTACTTTTAAAAGAGAAAAGGCATGTGCACTACATACACATATGAAAGTTAACATAAAGGCACAACAACTGTACACCCACCAAATTAGGTCGCTTGTAAATGAGAACTTTATCAGGTTTGCTCTGCACCCTTGCCAATGCTCCTTCTAGGAGGGATATGTATTCCACTTTCCTTTTCGGCTCTACTCCAAAGCTTGCTGTTACAATAAGTTTGGGCTAAAATAAAGAAGTTAGGTTGTTAATATATACATTTGCAATATATTTCATATATGTAACCTAATGACAAGTTTTCCATTAATGATGTTTAGTGTATAAAATCTATTTTCACATAATTCAAAACAGGAGTTTAGATCAGTTTTTTACAGAAATCAAGCTTGTGTGATCTTCCTGTCCATGCACAGTAATAACTTCTGATGCTTTTCACCATTTTCAGCCAAATTTGAGCAAGAAATCAACAGTATTAAGTTCTTGTAAGCTGCACAAAAATTAATCAACAGAGAAAAAACCCATCTACGTCTTAGCCCCTCCTTTAAATAAAAGTGGTACAGTGTTGTCAACAACTATCTGTCCTGTTTAGCCTGCTTTCTAATTATCCGCCTGCACCCAACAGCATATTTTAAAACTAGCTGTAGGACTTTGCTGGCTCTTTTCCAGTCTGCAATTAAATGGCACAGGCAGAAAAATAGGAGAAAGAGGAAAAAGGCGGCAAACAAGAGATGACAGGAAACTAGAAATACAGGAAGAGAATAAGCTAAAGTCATAAGGCACATGAGGGAAATATAGCAAGAGTCTTTCAAGTGATGCAGGATTCAGGATGCAAAACCATTAAAAATCAGATTTCCATAGTTCTGGTGTTTTTTAGAATAACTTCTGTTTCAAATGTGGATTTAGCATCTTTGTCATTTAATTAATCTCGGGTTTTATGTAAGATTTCCTAAGTCAAGACATTGGCATGCAAACTATTTCAATTTAGGTGCCAAGGTAAGTAGTTTTATTTCTTGTATTTCAGGAAATAAAAGGTAGCACCAAAAAAACTATGTGTTAGAACACATTTTAATTGGAGAAGAATAAGTCTTCAATCTCCTTGCTTTTGGAGTTTTAGAAGTATATTTATCTTATGCCCCTCAGTTTAATCAAGCTAGTTTACTAATTGTATGCATTAGCATAAATCTCATTAAGTAGGCACAAACCACAACGCCACAGTTAAGGCTGCATTAAACTTAGCACAGAATGCACAGATTAAATTGTTTTCTTGTGCAATAATAAAAGCTTTCCTGTCCAAACCTGCCATTCAGAGAAGTTTGCTAATTAGTGTGTATTCAAAATAAAGATTTCAGATGAGCTTTAAAATTTCATTATTTGTCATCTTTCTCTTTTGGGATACAATAATTTTCATAAAAGATGATACAATGCAATGCAGTTAAACTGCAAATTCATCTGGAGCTTACCTTGAAATTAGACTGTAATTAATGTAAGATATTAACACAGTTCTAGTCACTTGTTAAGATGAAAGACTGTTGTCAACACCAGGTTTACAGTCATTTGTAAATGGTGCCACCTCTGCTCATCAAGTGCTTTGTATGCAGTAAAGAAGTCTAAAAATAAGCAATACTAAGTTGGCTGATGTGATCTATTTCCCAAGTGAGGGTTGCCACTTGGAAGCATCATGGATCACTCTGTGCAAATCAAAGGTCCATTACTGGCTTTAACTCCTGTTTTGTAGTGTTTTACCCCTCTGCCTACTTGACATTACTTTCTCTGCATCTCTGCTCCCATACTGTTTTTATACACCCATCTCCCATCTCGTCTGTGGCTCCGTGTAGTTCTGCACACCAACATTAGATAGAAAAATAACTGTTTTAAAAAAAACAAGGAAGTTCAAAGGTTTGCTGAAGAAGAAACGTCAGCAATAGTGAGCTGTGGAAAAAACACCCAACAATATGATAAAGCAGAAATGAGCTAAAGCAAGGCCCAATAGCACCAGACTAACAATTTTACTCTGTGGTAAAGACTCCTCCTACAAATTCTTTTATAGTGTCTAATAGCGTACAAGGCAAAGTTTAGAAAAAGCAATAAATAATTTTTGGGGGGCCAGCTAATAAAGCTGCAAAAAGCCAAAACTGAAAACCAACTAACACTGAGGCAGAAAATATCAGAAGCATCACGAATATGTTTACCAAGAAATCCAGGACTTGGGCCCTCATTATTCAACACATAACGATCTTTCCTCTTCATGCCCCAGCCACACATCTATCACAAGCCTACACTCAAACTTACTGCACTTTCATAGTGTGTCACTACTTAAGAAAACCGACATGCATTTTAAAGAAATCCAGTGCTTATGCAGTCATTATATAGCTCTGGTGCACCTGCTGGTACTGCACTGGCTTTGTGGTTAGAAGATACGCATCAGACTGCCATGCACATTAAGTTTTGCCAGATATTATACAGTGCTCTGACAAAAGAGACCTGAATCATACTACACAAGTAGTTAAAAATGAAATGCAAGATAGCACCTTCTAATCTACAATATATATTCCAAAAATAAATACCACTTCAAGACAAGAAAAGACCGGACTGCCACTATTATAAGGCAACTGTGCATCTTAAGTATCAGCAGCTAAGCTTGCTGCCTCGTCACTCAAAAGGTTTGATCATCTTATGATGAAAAGTAAGGGCAACTAGCTGTGCACAGGAACTATGTCTTATTCAGAATAAACCACTACAAAATATAAGCTTGTTTTTTTCAAGGAGGTTTTATTAAAATTTCCAAATGTGTCAACTGTAAATAAGTGAGGAGTACAGTATTTCTGACCTCAATGAAAGAGACTAATGGTTTTGAAGAACTTGAGTGTCTTGTATAGTTCATATTTCAAAGAATTGTTGTTCACTTGCAAATCATAATACTGTCTTCCAAAAACACATGCCTGAAAAACTCCATTACTTGTATTTTATTTTGCAGGATTTGGACTTAAAATCTAAAAAGTCCTCGGAATTGCTACACAATTATTGTGATTCAAAAAACAAGAGAAAATTTGATTGTTGAAGACATAGCAATTACCATATTAAATAGGTGTATAAGCATATAGTTCTTAAGTAGCCTTGTCAGATTTCTTAATATACTAAAGTAAAGTGCTTAAATAGATGTCATGTTAATTTCCCAAAATATAGTTAATGTCATTTACCACCTGCTAGAAAAGTAGCACTGTGAGCTGTAGGCAATGCAGGAGATTCCTGGAATGCATTGAGGATAACTTCTTAAGCCAGGGAATAGACAGTCCCCCTGAGGGGATGCAATACTGAACCTGTTGGTCACCAACACAAATGAGCTAATCGGTGACACTAAGGCTGGAGGCAGCCTGTGCTGGAATGATCGTGCGTTGGTGAGGTTTGCAGACCTGAGGGATATGGGTCAGGTGAAGAGTAAAGTCAGGACCCTGAATTTTAGGAAAAGAAACTTCCAGCTGTTTAAGGAGTCAGTCAATAGGACCCCCTGGGAAACCGCCCTCATGGACAATGGAGCAGAACAGAACTGGCAGGTCTTTAAGGACGCTTTCCATAGAGCACAAGAGCTCTCAATCCCCAGGTGTAAGAAATCAGGAAAGGAAGGCAAAACTCCAGAGTTTGCTGGTCAAACTAAAGGGCAAGAAAGAGATGCACAGGCAGTAGAAGTGGGGATAGGTATCCTGGGAAGAGGATAGGGACATTGCCTAGTTATGAAGGGATGGGCTCAGGAAGGCCAAGGCACAGCTGGAGCTGAACTTGGCAAGGGACACAAAGAATAAAGAAGTAGGGCTTCTACAGCTATGTCAGCCAGAAAAAGAGGGTCAAAGAAAGCATATTCCCCCTGATGAACAGGACTGGCAAACTGGTAACAATAGATGAAGAGAAAGCTGAGGTACTCAACAACTTTTCTGCCTCAGTCTTCACTGGCAACCTGTCTTCCCACACCTATAAAGTGGCTGGGAGCTAAGTTCTTCCTACTGTAAGAGAATATCACATTCATGACCATCTGAGGAACCTGAAGTGCACTCTCAGTTAAGTTTGCTGATGACACCAAGCTGAGTTGTGTGGTTGAGGAGCCTGAGGGATGGGACGCCATCCAGAGAGAGCTGGACAAGTTTGAGAAGTGGGCCCATGTGAATCTCTTGAGGTTCAAAAAGGCCAAGTGCAAAGTCAAGCACCTGGGTCCAGGAAACTCCCAGCATCAATACAGGCTTAGGGATGAAGGGATTGAGAACAGTCCTGACTGGATGATAAGCTGGCCATGAGCCAGCAATGTGTGCTCGCAGACCGGAATGCCAGCCACGCCCCAAGCTGCATCAAAAGGAGCATGGCCAGCAGGTTGAGGGAAGGGATTCTGCCCCTCTGCTCTGCTCTAGTGAGACCCCTCTCCAGAGCCCTCAGCACAGAAAAGACATGGACCTGTTGGAGCAAGCTCAGAGATGGGGCACAAAAATGATCACAGGGAAGAAACACCTCTCCTATGAAGACAGGCTAAGAGAGTTGGGGTTGTTCAGCATGGAGAAATGTCTTGGGACATCTTATCGTGGCCTTTCAGTACTTCAAGGGGAGTTATAAGAAAGAAGGTGACAGACCTTCCAATAGGGCCTGCTGCAACAGCACAAGAGGTAATGGTTTTAAAGTAAAAGAGGGTAGATTTAGACTAGATACGAGGAAGAAAATTTTTACAAGGATGGTGGAACACTGAAACAGGTTGCCCAGAGAGGTGGCAGATGTCCCATCCCTGGAAACATTCAAGGTCAGGTTGGACGGGGCTCTAAGCAACTGGAATTACTTGAAGATGTCTCTGCTCATTGCAGGAGGAGTTGGACTAGATGACTTTTAATGCTGCCTTCCAACCCAAACTACTCTATGATTCTATGAAAGTATCTACTGTTTTGAAATTACAAACTATATATTCCCCTATTCAGGTGAAAGGGAAGATGACACGAAATGCCTGTTCTCACGCTCTGTATCACTTCATCACAATTCACTGCAGAATGCCTGTAACTGCCAATACCTGACAAGAGTAGAAATTATCAGCTACAGGACTTTGCAGCATTCCCAGACCTATTTAAAATTCAAGATAAATTAAGGTAAGCTAGTACAGTATATGTACCTTTTCATAGTCACTAGAAAGTGCTTGTTTTTTCTTTCACTCAGATCTTCCAATAGAATGTGAAGTTTGACCTTTCTTTCATAAAAGCATCTCACAGTCAGCTTTCCATTGCACATTTTTAACTCTTTCTAATTAATCTTACCAACATTAGCTCCCGTACTATGCCATCTAAACCAATTCACATAAAAGCCTAATAGAAAGGTTAGGATATTTTGAGACTGCTTCAATTAAAATCTGAGTTCAGCAGAATAACATCTATCACAACTACTTATATACATATTTTAAAGATAATCTCAGTACTGTGAAATTCACTTATCAAGAAAGCTTTGCAAAACTGGTGCATGTTTTGAAATTTAGATTTAGGATATTCCTCTCCTCTTTAGTTACACTTTCATTACACATCAGATGGACCAAAAATCACCTACAATATTTAGATATGCCTCTTAAAGAAACAAAAAGGCAATGTAAACTAGGATTTAATCCATGGCCTGCATAAATCACTTAAACTTTCTCTGTTTTCTTTTTCATGTATGAAGCAAGGATTATGATTACTATCCTGCCTCCCTTTGTTCCTCAGAGAAAATCCATTGGGATTAATTAGTTAATGTTTGAAAATTACTCCAAAAGTAAACATGCTAGATTATTTGCATTGTAGAAACCTTCATTTTAAAAGTTCATCATTTTTTCTTCTACATTATTTTCCCCCAATTTTATGAGTTAAAATCAATTTTTATTGCTTGTTAAAAAAGCAGGGGAGTGGGAAGAAAAACAGAGAAAACTGTGGAGCTGTTGTTAGCTTTCCCTCAGCTTTTTTTTTTTTTTTTTTTTTTTTCACAATTCCAACAAACCATTGCAGCCATTTTATTAGCTTCATCTTTGTTAGAACATCAAGGCAGTGATGGGGAATGCACTCAACTTTCTCTTTACAGATACTCATAAAATTCAAGCTTTGGTGATCTGAAGACCACTTCTGTGCTCAAAGTTCCACAAATCCTGTGGACTTTCTGCTGTATAATATTTTGGTTTATGTGTCTAACCGACGTGATTCAGTGGCAGATGGCCACTACGGATGGCCTGAATGATCCAGGTGACTGATCAAAATGACAAAGAATTTTGTCTTGTTCACTGGCAGAAAACAAGAACAGAAACTGTCAGTATAAACATTTGTTAGGTGGTTTGAAACTAATGCATATGCAAGATACGCACATATAAACTACTAACTAGATTATTAAAGTACTATTTGCATTTTCACTTTCAAAGACTTACATAATGCTTCATAAACAAGCTCAAGTTGTGCCAAACTCAGAAACCTTTAAAGCATTCACCTCTATTAATTATGTTCTCTGCAGAGTCACGCCTTGATTCATGTAGAAATTAGATGAAGCAGATCTATAGCTGCAAAAAGGACTATCTAATATGTCTAAACATCAAATAAACCAATTAAGTCATTTAGGGTTGGCAGCATTTTCCTCATACACTTGAGGAAAATGCTGGGAAAAAAGCCAATTTTAAGGTGATGCTTTGTAGAAAAAGATTGACAAATGGGAGAAGAAAGTATGCTCTAAACAGACAGCAGCATGTTAAACTCGCTTTTTAAACAAGGTCAAAACTTGTATCTCAATGTCTGCAATAAAGTATCACCCTCCCAACAGCCGTATTACTTTGTTCATATTTCAATGTTAGATATTATAAACAAACTATGACTGTGTGCCACACTAAGAGAAATGTTGTTATCCCCTCTGGAAAAAAAAAGTGGGTTTTGACACTGACATATAATTAACTAATGCAATGGTGGTTATTGTTCCAAATACATGTTACCTTTGCATGATCAATGCGAACCGAAAGTTCTTTAGATGCAAATCCACCAAAAATCAGGCTATGGATGGCTCCTATTCTTGCACAAGCCAGCATACAGTACACTGTCTGTGGAATCATGGGCATGTAGATGACGACACGATCTCCTTTCTTCACGCCATGTTTGACCATGACATCAGCTAACTTGGAGACCTGTACTGACAAAACACAACATTAACAGTTTCTCCAGATCTACCGCTGCCCCATAAAAAATAACTTTCATACAATACATAGACAGAGGACATTAAGAAGACAAGCCAGTATGATATGGAAAGTTGATGAGCAATGCAATCCAGGTTCAATGAATATACGACAATTTCCTTTTTGCAAAGTAATGTACATTTTTCTTTTGTAAAATGAGAATGGGCTGAAATTAATTATTTTACACATTAAAAAATCAATAACAATGTTTTGCGAACTTTTGAATGACACTAACTACTAGTTCTTTTATCCAGATAACTGCTTATATTTCTCAATTTTAGGCTTTGAGAATGGATGTAAGCAGGACATTTCATCACGCAAATTCTGTCCTAACTAGCTAGGTTTGAACCACAAATCAGTATTTTCTCTACTCAGAGCTGTAAACTTCTCAGAATCTGAGACAAGAAATCTTACACGTTGAACCAAATGTAAATATAAATTCAGAGAGAAATATGTTTAAGAGTCTTTCCTGACATTTTCAGATTTTGGTGTGCTCAATCCTGAAGACAGATTGTGTGCATGGCTGCAAAGGCCTGGAACTCAAGAAATGTGATAGATCAGCATCAGTGTCAGCCATCTGTATCACCATGAGAAAATATTTATTATGTCGACAACGTATGGCATTCTGTCACAAAACTATTACTGACTGTTTGATTAATACACTGGGCCAGACAATTTACCACACAGTAAGTTCTGTTAGAGTGAGCACGGGAACCTCTGACAAGCACTGTGCACTTGTCCCGATGTGCTTTTTGCAGCATGGAAATGCGGCATCTTCTGAAGGAAAAGCAAATAATTAATTCCCCAAGAGCAAGTGAATGAACTCAGCTGTCAGAGGTTTCTCAAGTTCCAGAGGCTGACAGCTGTGTAACACTCAGTATCTGAACCTGCTCACTGCCTTTAATTTTTTCAATTAGACATCAGTGTGTCTGTTATCTATAAGTAATAGAGGTAAAATTGCATGCCACTGCGCACAAAACATAGGCTAACAGGTTAACAGAAAAAAACAGTAGACTAAGAAGAAACAAAGTAGACTAATAAGCTACTGGCAAACAGGATGGAACTAGAAACACCCCAGAAGCCATGGGCTGGCATGGTCCACAAGCATGACTACATGCCAGTCAGACATAACAAGAACAGGAGCTTTGTTTGCAATAGTTTTACATTGGTGGTAAGACTAAAAAGTTAAATTCTTTAGGATGTTCTTGGGATATCTGGGGACATATAAATCTAAGTTCAGAACAAAGGAGTTTCTCTGTCTTACAGGGGAACACTTCTTACCTACAGTAGTAAAATTCTTGGGTTTACTACTGCAGGTTGCCATTCACTAAAAAATATTACAATATCATAAGAAGTTTAAACACTGTAATTTCTTTCACTATCAATGTAACATGAATCTACTTATATATGAATTTCTCACATATTACCTGTACTGCGTTATTCCTTTGATTTATTGTATCACACAAATAAGGTTTCAAGTAAAATTTAGTCTCGTGAAAGACTTTTCTTCAGGTACTATCAGACTGGAGAGAAAGGAAAGGGGAGAAAAATTCCTGAGAGCATCAGGGGGATGTTGCCTGTAGAACAGAAAATACTCAAGCTTCTGAAGCAGTCAGAGATGTTTGCATTCACCCAGCAAATAATGCAAGCAAGGGGAGCAGTCTAGGCCAATGATGCACGTTGTACAAGCAGGACAGGAGGGAAGGACCATCTTTTTCAAGGATGAGCTAGTAGATTTTCTTTAAAATGTTTTACTGTCATTTTATTATTCATCAAATTTGAGTTCTCTCTATTTAATGAGCTCCCTAATTCTACTTGCAACCACTGTTGCTTTCCAAGATTCCTAGACATTAGGCTCTTTCTTTTATGGTCATATTCAAGAAAACTTGGGGCAATTACATCAAATCCTAGAGGCCTATCTGATACTGAAGAGGATAATACAGTATTACTCACTGCTTCTCTCTTCAGTGGGAACACATATGCAGACTTTCAGCGACCTGAGACAATAACATCAGAAGCTCCAGATGCATCTGACCTGTGCTTGCATTAAATACATAGCTCACTCACAATCAAACTATGCTTATTTCTATGCTTCTGCCTGAAGATTTAAGAAAATGGAAACACAGAACCTCCAACATGCATGTTTGCATCAGAAGATAAAAGTATAGCCTCCAGTTTTTATAAACGTAGCAAAAATCCCTGCTGTTATTTTCAGCCACAAGAGAGAATATGTTTATAAGACAAAGTTATCACCATACCAAGCTGAAAACTCACACAAACTAAAGTACATGTATGATTTATTTGTAACAGACCTTTTATATTAAATGTTACTGATTATCAAAAGAAAAAATCTTTAATTGTAGACCTATTATTACCTATCAATACTCTATGAAACTGACATACGCTATCAAAACTCAACAAAAATCAACAAGGCATGTACATAACTTGAATTTAATGCCATGCAACTGGCATTTACAGTCATTTCTACATAGGATTAGTGAAAATAATTGTAATAAGGATAACAACTCTATTTCCAAAGGTAAATTCATTTTCTGTACTTCCTACTCTGAAAACATTAAAATCTATACAGTCATTAGAGAGCTAACATCACCTTATCTCAAAGAATTCAGAGAACTAATCCTTATCTTTGCTGCTTGTGAAACTCTCAAGCAGATTATTGACAAGAAGGACACAGGCAATGAAAACAATACTTAATCAGTAATTTTATAGTCAGTGTAAGTGTGGATAGTAGACAATGAGTAGTTAAACACAATGGATGAGTATTATTATTCATTATTCATTATTTTATATTATTAAAAATGGCAAAAAAGGCAATGTTTGTCTGCTAAAGGAAAAAGCCATCATTTAAAGATTGTAATTAGTAATTCTGTAATAGAATACTCCTAGTGCCTGTATACATGCTACATAACTTTGGTACTTGGCTGTAAGAGGGAAATAGTGGAGAAATCTGCATGTACTTAAGTAATTTTTATTGAAAGCTATCACAGATAAATTGTACTTACAGCAGAATACACACAGTACGCTGCAGGCAGGAATCACCTGTCTTCCATGCAAACCCAGTACTCACTTGTTGGCACTTAACCTCCCCACCCTAGAGAGCTTAATGTCACCGAAGGCAATAACCCAATATAACACATGAGTATCTATGATTTTCCTTGTGCCTTTTCCCACATCTTTCTGACAACCAGGGAGCATTTGGACTACATAATAAACCACTGTCTCTATGTGCAACTATTTGGACGACTAAGGAACATCATAAAGCAGGTTTACTTGCCCTTAAGATTGATGCGGAAACCCTGAACCATCCAAGCAATCAATCACTCTAAAAAGGAGAGGGGGAAGAGTGAGTAGTGACATTTCATTAAATTGTTAAAAGCCATGAAACCTTCCACTTTGTTACAGTGTGTTGTCAGTTATGGTTTACATTAAGACAGCATGCTACATCACTCAAGATTTTACAGTTGCTATTTTCCTACCAGCATGCTATTTCTCTGCTTTTCTTCAAAGTTTAAGATCGCTCTATCACTTTAACATATTTGACACTTCAGTAATAAAATCACTTGAGACCAAGTGATATAATAAGAAACTGAAGTAGGCTTTCAGCTTTGAAGATCTGGGCTTAAATTATCAAATGCAAATATATCAAATGCAAGCCCCCAGTGAGCATGGCTTTATTTTTACCCAGCCACCAAACAAATAGTACATCTGTATTAGCAGTTCAGGTTTGGAGAAGTACTGCAGTTCTGAAGTAAATCACCTGGCTGTCCCTAGTAGTCACAGAAAGCAGTTTTGGTCCATGCCAAAAGAATTCTTCTTAGAAGATACTAAAACAGAAAATCCACTCAAAATGCTAAAAAGAGGAATTTCAAACCTTCCTGTGATGAACAATGACTGGGTCTCACCAGTGTCCAGTCCTTCAGTGCAAGCTAAACACAAAAGAATTCTTCAAACATCAAGAGCTCCTGAAACATCCTGAAGTGCATCTCATTGTGTAAAAAGAGCCATCTCACACCCACAGTCCTCTAAACCACAGTTGCACGTTGCCTTAGCTCTTCAGCTTCTCCATTGTGTTATTTTTTCAAGACTACTAAAGAAAGTACTCCTTCCTATTCTCCCCACCCCTTGATCAGCCTCTTCACTCTTCTATCACTCTTCTTAATTATTGTTTCCTCCTTTTCCTACTGCTGCAAAAGCTTCCTACCATTTGGAAGTGGGACAGGACTTACAAGTGGTGCTGCATTCACTTCAAATAGATGAAGACCATGTTCTTGATGAGGTGGCAAACCCATGCTTCAGAGGTGCCACAGTGCATGTGCCACTACCACAGAGATCTTGAACAGATCTTCAGGGGAGGGGAGAGCATTCCACCAAGCCCACTGCTCATCCACAGACATCCGAGGACATCCACAGACATCCAAGGACATCCACGCCCTTGGTACAAGGATCAGCAATTCTAGAACACAGTCTAGGGAAAAACATGGCAGTGGTGCTGCACATGTCTTATGCCTGCAGCCCCAAGAGGACCCCCATGAGACAACACGCAGGAACAACCCCTTGCCCACTCCACACCACAGCAGGCAATGGGAACTGCAAAACTACTGGTTCGGATGTCCACCTGAGTAAGCGTGCAGACTTTTTTCCTATACATATATTAAGCACGGGTTTAGGAGCTTTCTGGTAGAATTAGGGCATTGGTTGCAGAGCTGTGGAAAGGTGGTGTAAGTCTCTGGATTTACTGTGAGATCTGCTAGACCTTGAGAGATGATTCCCCAGGGGGCAGTGAGCTATGAGGGAAGTTCTGTGGAGGAGCAAGCTCCGTCAGGGACCGCTAGCCCCGTCCCAGCTCTGCCTGTGTGCCAGGCATGGTCCTGATAATGGCATAAGTTGTGGACATGGCATGCCTTGATCACACAGCCCCCCTAGGCTTCTGC